CAGTTTATAGCAGTGTTTCTCAACCTCAGCAACTTTAAGATGTATGGCCATTAAGATGACATGGCTGGGGAATTCTGGGAATTGAAGTCCACACATCTTAAAGTTGTTGAGGTTGAGAAACACTGAGTTATAGTGTAAAAGGACTTTTGAGTTTGTACAGTAGTATCTTTTGCTTGCTTCTTCCATGCTGCAGATGACTTGAAGTTGATTCCAAGAGACTGGAAATCCTTCACTTCTTCATTATGGATGTCATTAATCTTCCAATTATGATTGTAGTTAGTGCACCTTTCAGTAAACAGAATTGCATTGGTTTGGGAATTAATAATACTTAATTTTTCACTACTGCAATTAACTGCTAGTTAAGGCAGTTAGCCAAAGATAAATAGCTGCATTATTAGGGTACAAAAAAATGGACATAGCTTTGTTAGCCAGTGGAGGATGCAATTCAATGTTTGAAAAGGCTTGAGTAATAGATTTAATATAGAATTTGAACAGAAGGGAAGCAAGTATGCAACCTTGTTTGACTCCTTTCTGAGTAAATATTGGATCATGAAGATATTTTTATGTAACCTAATGATTAATCAAAGTAATCAGCAATCTATGGTGACAATTATGCCTGTAGTCCCTCCCTAGCTATTCAATCAAATGACATATTCAACTCAATGAAGTTAGCATAAAAAAGTACCCGGAATACTTCCTGAATACTACAGGACCATACTTTGATGATCTGGTTCTAAAGCAAGTTTGCTCTACTTTCAAGTTATTGTCTAGGATTGATTAATCAATATTTTCCACAGAGGTGTCTTGTATATAACTTGCTCAAAGGGCTAAATGGGTAGAAATTAGCTGGACCCACTTTCTCTCCTTAAAATTTGGGACAGTTATTGATTAGTCTTTTGGCATTTAAAAGGAGTGGTTCACATAGGGAAATAAAATGCCTAGTGCACAGTTCCATGCATCAAAGTTGATTTTTAGACATTTGGCTGGGAATGGGATCTTTCCTTACCCTATAGCTCTGTTATTCTGTGCTATGAGTTTAAATAGCTCAGAAATTGACACAGGAAACAAATCAGGTAAATAATCATCAGGTGGCTCAAACAACTTAACTGGGGGTTGGCATCACTATAAAGAGTCCAAAAATGTTCTACCCATTCTACTCACTCATTGGTGAGATTAGCCATCCTTCCCACTAAAGGATCTGTAGAAAAAGAATGGGACATAAGATGCCAACATTCGGTGGAGTTTCTGTCTTTTATAACTTTCACAAACTTCTTCCAGGTACCCATCTGAGCTTCTGGTTTCCTGTTTTAACAACATCTTTCACTGATTCTTCAAAGCAAATGCAATGTCCCATAAACAATACCCAGTATTATTCCTAAAGGCCTGTTGAATTTAATTTGGCCTTAGCTTTAACACAAACATGATTTAAACATGTCTTACATATAAATGTGGATCTAGAAAGTTTGACTGTTAATTTATCTGTTATGAGACCCAGACGATATGGATCATTTGTTGGACAATGCATGGTGATCCCCATACATCCTTTGCATCTTCAATGGACTGTTGAGAGATTATAGGAAGACTAAAAAAATGGGCAGAAGCTCTCTCAAACTCACCAGATCCTCTTATTTGGGAATTCCTATCTGAAATAATTTCATCCATAAAATTGGGTATGATCTGCAGACTGAAGCATTATAGTCCAATTTTACTCTCAGGGGAATGATCACTATCAGGATGAAAAATCAATCTTAAATTCAGTAATCCTGTTAAATAGGCTTTGGGATAGTAACATATAATCAATAATGCTAGCACCTCTACCACCACAGAAATTTAGTTTCCTTTTAGAGTCCCCTTAAACCAGTCAGTTTAGAATAATAGAAATCTTAGCAACAAATCCAGGAAGTAGTCTTAAAACATGTTCCAGCTATCACTGAGTTTATTTAATGATCTATACCATGTTAAATAAAGATTGGTTAACAGTAAACCTTGGTATACTAATTCCAACTTAATGGCCATAGTCAAGGTACCATACCTAACAGGCAGAGAAATGCTTTGGCATAATTTGGCTGAAATTAAGGTACTGAAGATACCTTGGACTTGAGTATTCTCCTGACCATGCACAGCCTATACTGAAAAGGAAATGTAGCATCACGCCATAAGGTTTCACATTTCCAAATCTCTTATAAAAGAAGTACAGGTAGTCCTTGCTTAATGACCGTTCATTTAAGGATGGTTCAAAGTTATGACAGCCTCAGAAAAAGTGCTTTACAGCCTGTACTCACACTTACGTCCATCACAAACTGTTGCACCACTCCCCATGGTCACATGATCACAATTTATGAGCTTTTTATGATGGTCTTTAAGCAAATAACTGCGGTTGTTAAGCGAATCATGTGGTCGTTAAATGAATTCCAGCAAAAAACTCCATTGGGGAAGCTGGATTCACTTAACGATCATGTGATTCGCTTAATGACCATGGTGATTCACTTCACAACCATCATAAAAATGGTCATAAAATTGAGTCTAGTCACATGGTGACTCTATTAACCACCCTGCTTAACGACCAATTTTACAGTCCCTATTGTGGTCGTTAAGTGAGAACTACCTGTATGTCAAATTTATTTAGCAGACCTGTAAAGAGAAATTTATATGAAATAACTGAATGGATGGACTTCAATATCATCATCTAAAGTACTATTGAACTGAATCAGTTCAGAGCAACTTTAACTCAATTTTTCTTCTTCCAGGTCAGTGTTGACTCCTGGCTACTACCTAGACTATTCTCTGCAGTTTTCTTGGCAAGATTTTTCAGAAGTGGTTTGACATCGCCTCCTTCCTAGAGCTTAGAGAAAGTGACTGGCCCAAGGTCACCCAGCTGGCTTTATGCCCAAGGCGGGACTAGAACTCACAGTTTCCCAGTTTCTAGCCCAGTGCCAACCACTACACCAACTTCCAGGTTTCTTTAGATGGTACAGATTATATGCATCCATTCTAATTGAATTGCAGAGGTAATGTTGAGATGGAAGCAGTCATGGTTGCCATGACAGATAACATAGGCCAGGGAGTGGTTGGGGAAAGGATGCCTCAACTGATTATGCTGGAATTCTCAGCAGCTTTCATCACTTGAATTTTGGATGTTATGGATTCAAAACTCATTTTCCACAGTTCCCTTTCATTAAAATCTCATTCCCCTGATTCTTTTTATTCCTCATTATCACTGCCTCTTCACCTTGACCCAAAGTAGAGTTATGGGTCAACTTTCAGGAATGTTGAAAATCTGAATGAGATGTGACTTGAAATATACAGTGCTATTTTTAAATAAAGTGTTATAAAATGAAAGGGGGATCAAGCAAAAGTGTTATAAAATGAAAGGGGGATCATTGGTAACAGATTGTGTTGTAAGGTTTTGCTTAAAACAAAACAAAACATCCCCTTCCTTGGAAACAAAAATTTTCACTCACTCATCTTTTCAGTAAACTCACCCTAGTTCCATTCAATAGGTTGTCTTATGCAGCAAAAGTAAAAGAAGCATAAGTTGCAGTTGAACAATGATACTCTGTTTCTGAAGCAAAGACTAAGACTGAGCTTCTCCATCCTTGTTTTAAGCTTACCATGGCTCACGCACAGATTTCAGATTTTGCAATGCTGAGGAGTGGAATTAAACTGTAAGTATGTCACCTAATAAAGTTCAGTTAATTTTTTTTTTCATGCAAATCACACATTACTTTGGTTTGAAAAAAAAAAAAACTACAAACACTGCAAACCTATTTGTTTCTGTGACAATAAATCCCACTGAACATTACTTGTTTCTAAGTAAACATATGATTATGCTGCAGGCTAAAAGATGCAAAGAAAAATCAGTAATGTAAAATATAGTAATTGCAATAGGAAAATGAGATCAGTTGACCTAACAGAACATGCTTTTCTTCTAAAAAAGACTGTTTCTTGGGTGGCAGTATTCTATTTGAATAGCTATCAAAAAGCTACTTCAAGTGCTTTTTAAGCAGAAAAATGAGACAAAAATATTTCAAATGAATGAGTATATATATGAGGTTCGCCAGTCCACATCCAGTTCAAAAATAGAGTCATATGAAGGGAGAACAGGGGTTTAGCAGTTATCTATCAACAGTTGAAAACTAGACCTCAGACTAAGAAATTATACACTTCATCTTCTGATAGACTTCCCTGCTATGCTTTATTTCTGACACAGCAATTATTTCCAGTATGTATTTATATGTAGAAAATGGATAATAGTGTGATTTGACTGCAGTTACATGTGACCTCTTTTAGAATGATCCATTGCCTCTTTTTTGGCAATAGTGTACGTAGTAGCCATCCTATCTTCCCTTCTGAAATACATTATTTCCAATGGCATGAAAAGAAAAACTCTACTATGCACAGGCAAGAGTGGAGCCTTATTAAACTAAGCCACGGAAAAGGTTACTGAGGGTCAATATGTTTGTAAGAAAGCATTACATTATTTAAAGAGAATTAACATTTGAAAAAAATGAGTTTTTAAGTAAGAATCTTGCAGTCTCATGCTTGCATATTTCTCATTCAGGTACATTTTGAAGTACTCAAGAAACATCCTTCACCAAAAAGTTAGTCATTACATCATTTGCAGTCCTGTTGTTTCCTGTGTACCCATATCTGTCTGACATAACTTTTATAAGCTGAATATTCATGAAATCAACCCTGAGATTAGGAGAGTCTGTAGGTTTCCAGTAAGGTAGCAAAACAAAAACAAAAACAAAAAAACCTATTCCTTCATTTAGACAGTTCAAGTGATTCAGGAGGATTTCATCATAATGGCAAAATATGGGGTTTGGTTATAATTTTTCCCTATAATTGCTAACTGTCGATAAAATTGGTAAATATTGGCAAGCATCTTCAAAGAAAGCCACTTCACTGTAGCCAGTTTTTAAAAAGTATATATTCAATGCAGTAATAATTCATTATTTCTTAAAAACAAACTCTGAAGTTAATTAAGTTTTGTCTACCGTCTCTACTTTGCACGGTTCAAAGAGCTGTATCACTTTTCTCCTTGGTGCATCCTGTGAGGGAGTGAAGTTGGGAAAAGTAGCTGCAGCCAGGCAGAAACGCTTCTCACCCCATTTCCCTCATACTGTACATTCATTAACTCAAACTTTACTCACAAGCTTCCAAGCCCATGTTCCAATGGCCTGTAATAATTTAGCCACACCCTGGCGTTTTCAAGGACGGGCCAAAGTCTAGAGGTAGCCTCCCCTGCCCAAGCTCTTAGCTTATAAAAACAAATACTAAGACAGAGTGGGGAGGGGTATACTGTATGTAGGAGGAAAGGTGATATGCAAAGAGCATACAGATGGGGAAGCAGCAGTGACATCTGAAGATTGGCAGCTATTACAAGCGGGCAAGAGGACTATCATTCAACTGCCAGGACCACAAGGTATGGTGAGCATATCCTGGTGGGAATCCTGCCTGGAGCTTTGCCAGGAGCTCAGTAGCAACTAGAAGAAGAACCACCACACTGAAGCAGCTCCTCATCCCAACTACAGTAAGAACATTTGGAAGGAGGCAAAGGTTGTATGCCACTTTACAGAGTTATAGACTTTTGTTTGAACTAAGTAATAAAGGACTGAGTATTAAAGACATATTTACATGGCAACATCACCTCGCAAGTCCTAGATGGGTGGAGAGCAATAGTCTGTTGTTGGAGAATGCGCATGCTGCAATAAAGCATTTTGTACAGATTTGCTACATTGTGGTATGTCCAGTCCTTGGAAAACAACTCTCGCACATCCTCCTGAGCAAGGTGGATGTTAGCCTAGTTGTGCTTCTAGAACCTTCAAGACAAAATATTTCTAACACCATCAACCACAGAGGTAAACCTGGAGTCCATTCCCATTGGCAGAAATATGTATACAACAATTGCTGTTGTATCATAGAGTCAATAATAAAAATCCATGATTATTCTCAACTTCCTAAAGTCTCAACTCCTCTCAAGATTGTTCCAAAACTGATATCTCTGGTCAATCCTGGATATTTATCCTAATAAATCTTATCAGAAGAGATGCATTTAGTAATCTGTTGATTCTATCAATTGTTTTGTGTAACTAATACAATTAAGTTTGATTTTACAATGGTCTTTAGCAGCCCAGTATCGGACAAATTCAGTCTTCTTCACCAATTAGAAGGGGAAAAAACAGTCTAATTTCTCATTTTCTTGGTTTAAAATTATTTATTTATTTATTTATTTCATTTATTACATTTTTCAACCGCCCATCTCCCCACAATGGGAGATTAGTGATGGAAATCCCCTTTCTGCCTCCCCCTCCCCCAGATTCAGTTTGGAACTGTGCTCTGTAAAAATCGTTACATTTTCCCAAAGATATTTTTTTAAAATGGGTGGGTTTCACTAAGGCTAATTCTGAATCAAATATTTAAACACCCACCAGCATTACTCTTGACATTATTAAAAGTGCATTGGAATTTCTGGCTATTTTAAAGATCTTTACTACTCCAAATGTTACCTTCCATGAACTTGGCTTGATAACAGCACAGTAGCATCAGAAAAATCAGAAAGCCAAGGATTGTCGCCTTTTACCATGTGTTTCATTGTCTCAGTCTTCTGCCTTGAATATTAGTATCTATGTGCTAGACAACCTAGAAAATACTGTTTTCTAGACATGTGGTGCTACATAGCCAGTGTTTGAGTTTCTAACATACATACAGTATTATGATGTAGAAGTATAACTTAGAGGCTGTATGTTCATCTCTGAATAAAGTGCTTTTGTATTCTGAGTTCATTTTTGAAGATGATTAGGGAAGAAGCATCTAAACCTCCCCTTTCTCATTGTGTTATTTGTTTGAGGTTACAGAAGCACTAAATTCTAAGATCCAATATATACAAGAGGGACGGTAAACCTGCATCATCCAGGTATTGTTGTATTATAACTCCCATACCTTAATATTGACCATGCTGGCTAGGGCTTCTGGATTCAGTGATATCTGGAGGATCCTAAGTTCTCAAGCCAAAATTTTAAAACTCCATATTGTTTAGTCAGATCTCCTTACCAATGTATGGGTGCTACCATCCAGCCATAGAAAACTGCTACTTTGGAGAGGACTTTTAACATGTGCTTCTAGGTCTTGCTTACTTGCCCAGTTAGTACTTGCTGAATCAAAGCCCAATCTATGAATTCAGTACAAAGAAACTCCTATTTGAGGTCATTAAAATGAAGCAGCTATTTCATATCTGCAGCATATTACCAGGTGCTATATCAGTATAGAAGGCATATGCAAGCTTTATCACAATTGGGTAAGCAGTTTCATGCTATATCATGCCTCCTTTTCCCTTCTACCATTCTCTTTCCATATCTAATTATCTGAAAAAGTATGAAATAAATAATGTGAAATTGTTCTTCAGGCCTGCCCTCTGAGAACTTGCAAACCATACTACCCCTTTGCCCCAATATCTCTATTTCGTCCCCTGCTGCTTTTTCTTGAAAAGAATTAAAAATCACTTGGATCTTTTTCAGATTTGGGATTAAAATTAAAGCATCAGATTTTCATTCTAACCAATATATAGTGCAATTCAGTCTACCTTCTCAAGCTTAGTGCAGCAAATCCTGGCATATGACCAAGAAACGTGTCTGACCTAAATTGTCCATTCCCCCCCCCCCCCGAATTTAGGAATAATACAGTTACAACTTCCTTCCAAATC